GGGGCGTTCCCACCGCCAGCAGCAGCAGCGGCAGCAGGCAGCGCCGGGCCCGGCTGGGCGCGGCCATGTTGGCGGCGGGGCCACGTGCCGCGCGCGGTCACGTGACCGGGAGCGTCTTAAAGGGGCCGCGCCGCGCCCTGAGGGGCGGGACCGGGGCTGTCCCCTCGTGTCCCCTCCTGACACCACTGTCCCTCTTCCCACTGTTCCTCTCTGCCCCCTCATGTTCTCTCCTGACCCGACTGTCCCTCCCTGTCCCCTCATGTCCCTCTCTGTCCTCTCCTGTCCCCTCATGTCCCTCCCTGTCCCCTCATGTCCCTCTCTTTCTCCTCCTGTCTCCTCATGTCCCTCCCTGTCCCCTCATGTCCCTCTCTTTCCTCTCCTGACCCGACTGTCCCTCCCTGTCCCCTCATGCCCCCTCATGTTCTCTCCTGACCCGACTGTCCCTCCCTGTCCCCTCATGTCCCTCTCTTTCCTCTCCTGACCCGACTGTCCCTCTCTGTCCCCTCATGTCCTCTCCTGACCCCACTGTCCCTTCCTGTCCCCTCATGTCCCTCTCTGTCCCCACTGTCCCTCCCTGCCCCCTCATGTCCTCTCTTGATCCGACTGTCCCTCCCTGTCCCCTCATGTCCCTCCCTGTCCCCTCCTGACCCCACTGTCTCTCCCTCTCCCGTCATGTCTCTCCCTGTCCCTCATGTCCCTCTCTGTCCCCTCATCTCCTCTCCTGACCCCACTGTCCCCCCTGTCCCCATGCCCAGCGGTTCCTGCCAGCCCGTGCTGGTGGCTCTGGAGCAGTGCCCTGCTGAGCTCCCAGCTCCAGAGAGCTCCGAGGGGGAGCTCAGCCATCCACTGAAAGACCTGAAACACCACAGGAATGTCACCCGTCCATAGAATACCTCCAGTGCCCACACAGGGGTCTCATAAAGGGCACCGAGGGCGTGTTCCCCCCCTGGAATTGTGCTTTGGGATTCCCCTCTCCGCCAGGGAATCACAGTTCTGCCTTCTTCATTTCTCCCACAGTTCACTGTAGCTGTTGGAGACTCTGTAAAATCTTTACTTTCTTGTGGGAGCTTCTGCTCAGAGCTGTCAACAGAACAGATCTGCATCATCCCCCAAGCCGAAATAAACCTTTACTCATCCTGCGGGATATTAATTCAAAATGCTCCGTGCAATTTTGGCTTGTGCTTGCAGCAAGGAGAAGCCTGAGTGAAGGAGGGGTGTTATGGTTTGGTGTGTGTAAAATGGCAGTGCTGGGAGGCCTCGAGGGATCAATCCCAACTATCCATCATTAGTCCCTTTTGCCTTGTGACGTGCTCCAGAAAAGCATCAGAGTGCAGGAAAACAAATGAGTGCAAAGTTGATTATACAACTATCCCTTGCTGCTTTGGGGTCGGAAAATGGCAATATTCCTTTTGCATTGACACGGCGATCTTTGCCCTTTGTTAAGGCATGAATGTCTGTGAAAATGAGAGTTAAATCCAACTTATTTTCTTCTGCTAAGTATTTCCCAACACAGTTCACTGAAGCGAGAGCAAAAGGTAGGCATCCAAATTCTGCAGACTTCTAGAACTGAAAGCAGTCTGTCAGGATAACCTCCCCTTAATAAAGCCCTGGGATTCTGGCCGTGTGGTGCTGGAATTCAGGAAAATCAGCTGATTTCCAACGAGCTGGGACAGCTCTCTAGTGTATCCTGCCCACTGGTTCTCATGGCTCCTTTTCCTGGAATTCTTGTGTGCATCATTTGTGTAGCTCCATCAGGAGGGCTCATGTTCCTTACTCTCCCCAGGGAAGAGATGAAATAATTACAGTTTGCTTCTGAGCAACATCCAGTGCCACTCTGAGCTCCTGAGGACTTGGAGAACTTTTGCTGCTGTGGATCCTTTTGTGCTCAGCCATTAGTTTTAGTTTTAGCTTTAGTTTTTCTCTCTCCTCACACAGAGTCCCTACGCTTGTGATGTTGCTGTTATTAAAATGTGATGGGAATGAGAGATTTTCCAGCTCTTCATGAGAGGCTGAGGGGTTCCAGCATTTGTCAGGAGTGCTTTTCATCCCTGAGTGCCTGCATGGATCCCTTCTGGGATCATCCTCCCCACTGTGAAACCAGCCATGAGCACGAGGAGACAGATTGATCCTCACAGTCCTGGAATATCTTCTGCTCTCGTTTTTCTTCCAGGGCTGTTGAGCTGCAGCTGACAAAGGAGACAAAGAGGAGACAGATTGATCCTCACAGCCCTGGAATATCTTCTCGTTTTTCTTCCAGGGCTGTTGAGCTGCAGCTGACAAAGGAGACAAAACCAAAACAGCAGAGACAAAACCCATACAAAGTCTCCCAGCAGGCTGGAGGTGCAATGTTTCCAAAACAGCCAATGGTTAGCTGTAAATTTGTCAACACAAAACAAGACAATAGAAATAAAAAGCAAATAAAAGACTTCACATTTCATGTTAACATCTTTCATCAGCGCTGAATTTCCATAATTGCTAAAAATAAAGTAGGAGTGGAGCAGAACAAGGTTTGAAAAGGAGAAAAAGAACAAAGTACTCCAATAGCAAGCTATAAAAATCCCTCACAAGTTGTTTTCCTGTGACTGAAACCACATGTGAAATTGGGCCAAACCTTCATAGTGCAGCTCCCAGGGCTGAAGTGATACCTACCAAGTAGTGTTTTTTCACTATTTCCTCTCTGAATTCTTGAGTTCATTCCCTCGACCCTCTGGGGGTGTGTGGGCTCCAAGCCCAGCCCTCCTGTAGGTCCCATTGTCAGGGAAAATTCCTGTAAGGGAGTACCCTGATCCTTCCCAAGGTGACCTTTCCCACTCCCACACTGCCCTCAATTTTACCTTTTCAATGCTGTAAGATTATAGGAGCCCATGAGCTCACAGTGCCTGCAGCAGCAGCCAGAGCAAACTCCTGCAGATGGAAATGTTCTCCTGCATTGGGAACTTCCATGATTTTCTTATCTTTGCCAGCACTCCTTCAAATCTAGAAAGTTCTTTGCAGAGCTTGGGCTGAATGCCCAAGAATTGGTGAGGGGCCATCAGAGTATGTAATGACAGGACAAGGGGGAATGGATTCCAGCTGACAGAGAATAGGTTTAGGTTGGATATGAGGAAGAAATCGCCCCTGTGAGGGTGGGGAGGCCCTGGCACAGGGTGCCCAGAGAGAGCAGCTGTGGCTGCCCCATCCCTGGAAGTGTCCAAGACCAGGCTGGAGGGGGCTTGGAGCACTCAGCCCATTCTGGGATGCTATGAGCTCCTCAGCCTCTGAAGAACTGACCAAGACCCAGAATCAAACGCAGTCCACAAGCAGAAATGTGCCCTTTGGTATTTGTGGGGAGGAATGTCTGCAGAGGGGCAGACTCCACTCTCTCCCTGGGCAGCCCGATCCCGTGCTCCCCCCCAGTGCTGCTGC